AGAGGGTAGGTTGCTCTGATTAGAATGGGTCATACCTATATCACAGTGCTTTCCTTTTATTTTTATTTTACCATGTGGTTTATTATAACTCAGATGGTAGATTGGATCATTTTTTCTCAATTCTTCACTTCCTCTCCATGTTAGATCAGATGTTCTAACCCATGTCACAGCCTCACAGGTGGAGTGTACTTTTGAGCCCCTTGACTTTGGGCTTGGCCATAGCTCTTTGCTTTGGCCAGTGGAATGTCAGTGGACATGACACATGCAGAGACTTAAATCGTGTTGTAAGTCTGGGCTTGCTCTCTTGCTCTACTGTTTTTCGTTTGGAGAACATGCGCTGGGTAGCCGTTAGTCTAAGGAGGATGAGAGACATCTGCAGCTTGGAGCCAGTCTCAGCAGCACCCAGCCTAAATCAGCTGAACCCTAGCCAAGCTGCCTATGCATGAACGATAAAGACACGCTTCCAGGTCTGAGCTATTGAGATTTTGTGGTGACCCATAACACAACATTATTTTTAAAAACAATGATAGATATACCTCACTTACAGGTTTGTCTCCCCTACTACTCTGTGAGCTTCTTAAAATTCATGATCATATTTTGTATAATTCTACATTTCCTCTGCTTAGTTCCTGCATATCATAGCCTCAAAATGTTTGATGAGTGAATAATGAATGAATGAATGACATACGAGGGTGTCTGAGTGGAACGCAGGGAGCATGGTTACTATAGCAACCTGGGTAAATAATTTAGAAACAACACTGGAATATTGCTTTGGTTCTGGAGAAAGGTTATACAGATTCTTAGGCTAAAAATGGGAATACATGCCAATTCTAGTCCCTTCATAAGCAGAGACACTAGGGCCTGGACAAAACCAAACCCTCAGATCTGACTCTGCATTAACCAGATGGCACAGTCTTAGGTTACTTTTCCATTTTGTTCCAGATGGCGATCTCTTGCATCAAGAGCAAATTGGGCATATCCTCTGAGTCCACTTCCAATTGCAACTGCCGGAATTTCCTGCAAGTGAGCTGCTTCTTGGTTATGATGCCTACCTCTGCTATTAATGATTAATATGTAACTTTTGTTTTCTTGAATTGATATTATGTATTATGAATCTTTTATAAACAACTATGATTCTAACACCATTCATTAGTATTTTCTAAGGTCAGTATAGGCTATCCTAAATACTGAAAGATGTGAAGATTCTGGAAGTTTTAAGAATTTGAAGTTCAAAATGTGTACTTAATATGCACTTTCTGTGGCACTGTTATCTGCAGTCTAAGAATAAGTGTGTGTGTGTGTGTGTGTGTGTGTTTGCTTAACTTCCCCTACACCATGTGAGATTCTGAGTCGATATGAAAGCAGCTGACAGCATTAGATAAAGACGATTATAGCAAAGAATTTAATCAATAACCACTTTTATCTCAGCAACACACATTACACCTTTAAAAATTATTTGCACAAATGTTTATTCTTAGCTAGTCTTGGAGTAAATCAGACCAAGCTGTCTGAAGAGTCAGAAAAACACTAGAGGAGAAGTAGCAATTTTGAATGTCAAAAAAAATGCTGTGGTCAAGACTGAACAGTGAGCGTTTCCTTGATGATAGGATACCGCAAGATCAACACAAGCCACAATAATGTAATTTATTGCATCAATTCTGCATGCATATGTATCTCATCTCTTAGGAGAAATTTCAAACTAAATCCAAGCACATCATTGATAAAATAGTAAAATAATGTTTCTGATGAAGAATAAATTATATAATTTAAGGAAAAAACCTGAATCTGTAATGACAAATGTTTCATAAAGTGTTTATTTCCACTCTGTATATATTAACGACTACAACATGTACTAGGAAGTTAAGGATTCTGTTTATTTTAAGAGGTGTTATGCTTGAAGAGACTGGAATAGTGATGGAAAGCCATGAAAGGATTGATGTAAAAAATAACATTGCTTTATTAGGTAGCTAAAACAACAGATACTTTCCTTACACGTAGTACAATGAATGGGTATACTGTCTAAGGAACAGGTGTGTCTCTAAAGCAATCATGGCGCCCAAAGGAGAGGGTTCAAGCTGGCTAAAGGGCATTCTTAGTCTTTACCATGAGATTTTATAGACTACTGGTAGTTATTTCAGGGGGGACCTAAAATGGAATTATCATATTTATAGGAGAATTTTGTTGATTAGGAAGGGAGAAAATCAGGATATGAAAGTAACAGATTGTGCCAATCAGAATGTGTGTGTGTGTTTCTCTCCCAGGCAGCATGTATACATATATACACCAGAATTTTTGAGCTAGCAATAGTAGAGTCTGCAATCTTGATATTCTGTAGAGATTTATGTTTTTTGTGTTCTCCGATGGTATGAATGACTATTTAAAAAACTTTTAGCTGGCCCTCAATGAGCCAAGAGGAACAGAGGAAAGGTGTTATGATCTGGACTTGAGGAAGCACTTTAAAGAAAGTGCCTGCAGACTCTAAGAGCCTGGAGCAATGGCTGTGTCCATGACCTTGGTACTCAGAGAGAAATTCACCCTAGTGGAAGGAGATTCCTGGAGACAGGAAATACTTCCAACCAAGAATTTTCCTTTTAATCCTAAACACTGAAGAGTCTTAGTGATCATGAGTGTGTTTGTGTGATCATGAGTGTGTGTGTGCGCGCCTGTGTGTGTAAGATTGCCTATTTCCCTATAGCGTACCGTGTACTCATAGGAGGTCATTTAAATGAACCAAATGCTACCTTCTCTAACTAAATAATTACTCATAAATTTTTTAAATATATTTTTAAAAGTACATATATCCCTTTGTATGAAGTTAGGATTATTAAACAAAATAAACCTAAGAAAAACATTGATGGCATTGGATATTGTTATAATTTCAGGTCTTCTCTAAAATATATGCAAGAATTATTTTTTGATTTCTTTGTTTTTACTTGTACTTAAAAAAACTTGTGCTTTTTTTTAAACTGAGCTAAGCATGAGAGTTACTCTTTATTTTCTATTATCTCATTTAACCATCATGACAGCACCACAAGTAGGTATTAGTTCATTTTCATACATTAGGAAACTGAAATCAGAAGAGAGCTGGTGACTTGTCGGAGCTAATTAAGGGGAGTAGCTTGCATTCAAGTCATGGCCTGAAAGTGTCCTTGGCAGGCTAACTCTGCTTGCGCTTCTATGTAGCTCTGGCATTCAATTCCATGTGTGTCCTATCCTAAAATATTTATATTACAAATTTCCTTTTTATATTCTAGGCAAATTACTCTGACACTATTATTAAATTAGAAATAAAAATTATAATAAACCAAAGGAATACATTATCCATTTAGATGAAAACCATATACAACCCCAAATCTTTAAAGTAAAAGCATATAATTCACACTAAACCAGCTGCACAATACTTCCACCCGCAGGCCTAGTTTATTCACTTTCTTCATACTTCCTTCATGTAGTACTTGACGAATGCTTATCAGTAAGAGTTTTTGCCTTCTTTTCTTACACCGTGAAAGAGCAGCATCCTTTAAGCAGTGTGGTTATGGAGATTCTGTACTTAGCACAGTTCTCAGAAAACAAATCAGAGAGATGCCGTCGAGAGAGTGTGGGAGAGGAACTGGAATACAAAAAGGGAGCTAGAAAAAGAGCCGCAGCAACACCTTTGTGACTTTCTGAAAACTATCAACATAGGCAATGTTTTGTGCACATGTATGTTCATCATCAGTGAGTGGCGAAAATTTGCTTTTTTCAGTTAGCGATAAACAAAATATCATGCTTTTTAATGAGCTACAAGACAGTGATGGTTGTTACAACATTATTAGTAATAACAAGATCATTATCATCAAGCACTATCTTGGTGCACTTACACCTGTGCTATCTAATTTATAAACCACAGATAATTCCAGAATTTCTTTTTAATAGTTAGTGTCAAGCTTCACCAACATACCTCCATCTTTTCAAAAACAACAGCTATCAAAAATTAGCAACATTGAAAAGTTTCTGTTTTCATACTACTAGATCATCTGTTGATGATGATTATTTTTAAAAATGAGAAAAAGGAGCTCACTACATTACTCTGATTTCATTATTTAGAGGTGCCACTCAAGAACATGCAGCATAAATTCTTAAGAGACATCAGAAATGCCTGTTAAATTAGAGATCAGTGTAGAAAGTACACAGTGTGTGTCACATCAACCTCCATTTTGTTATAATCTGAGATTTCAAACACTGTACTTTCTGGTTTGTAGTGTGCTATGGACTGAATTGGGTTCCCCCCAAATTCATATATTGAAGCCCCAACCCACAAGGTGATGGTATTTAGATATGGAGTCTTTGGGAATAATTAAGTTTAGATGAGGTCATGAGGGTGTGGCCCTCAAAATGGGATTAGTGCCCTTATAAGAAAAGACGTGAGAGACCTTGTTCTCTTTCTCTCTCTCAGCCGTGCGGGACACAGCAAGAAGGCAGCTGTTTGCACGCCAAAAAGAGGGTCCCACGGGACACCCACCCTGCTGGTACCTTAGTCTTGGGCTTCCAGTCCCCAGAACTGTGAGAAATTAATTCCCGTTGTTCAAGCCACTCAGTCTACAGTATTTTATTAAGGCAACCTGAGCTAAGAGATACTATTAGCCAAATTCCCTAACATATAGTGATAAATAACATGATAAACCAAATTTGTTAATTTAGACTCTAAATCTACAACAACTCTCAAAGAAGAAAATGTAGGAATGTTGTACCTTCAAAACCTTATATAATGAGTCAAGTTTGTCATTTATTTAGATAAATGCTAATGTCACAGAGCGAGACATCAGGAGACCTGGGTTGTATCTTAGTATTTTCTCTAGTTGCTATGCAATTTTGGGAAAGTCTCTTAACAACTGATCAGATTGGTCAGTTTACTTTCCTTTAAAAAGGACTGGTCTGAAACATTTCTGAGGGCCTTTCCACTTTGAAAGTTCTACAACTCTTGGTGCCCTTTAAAATGAAGGAAGGCAACTCACACTTACCATTCTGTTCCCGCTGCACTCCTGCCGCCAGGAGATCGGGCTCCCCAAGGCTGATGTCATTCAGCCTGGTCCCCAGACACTCCATGCAGAGATGTTTGCACCACTCCTCCGCCTCCAGCTCTGAAAAGGAGCACAGAGCATCCAAGTCAGGCCATGCTGCACAGGAATGATGGAGGAGGGACGCCTCCTAAACATTCTCCCAGGTAACTGGTAAGAGTTAAACATCTGCCTTAAAACAAAAAACAATAGTCAAGAAGTGAAAAAAAAAATCCCAACAATTATTTCTGATAGCTTGACATTATAACATTATATTTAAAGTGATTTTAAGTTATTCCAATTTACTTTATCTTATTTACAAATAATAATCTGAGAATATTTGTTTACTATCTAGTGTATTTTAGATTGATTTAATTTTTGAAGGGAAATTACTAAGAAAAATTAATTAAATATAAAATAAAAATATATAAATGAATAGTTGAAAAATGTCAGACTAGATTAAACAAATGAATGTTTTCCTGAGGGTGACTTAGATGTGTGTGGGTAGAAGGTCTGATCCCCAAGTCATTCTGAATTGCAGTGGATCATAAATCAGCAAGAGAATGTGATAACTTTTCTTCCGTAAACATCAAAAGTGGGCTATCTTTACTTTATAAAAAAATTTAAGATAGGATATTAAAAGTAACTTTCCCTTTTAGAAAACTCTAATTATCTAAGAAATTGATTAGATCATTCTCTTTTTACTTTCATTACCTTCCAAGTTTCTTATATTCACAAGTTGTTTTCTGCTTGAAACATGAGAACATCTCACACCCGCACAGAATCTTGTAGTGTCTACGCTTTCACAAACATGAATGAATTTGATTCTAATAAAGCCCTGTGTGGGTGAGGTGGCTAAGGGCCAGGGTCTCATGTCATATCATTGGTCAGCACCAAGACCAAATTGGAACCCAGGTCTTCCAGCTATTTTAATATGCAGAGATCGGAAAAAGAATATGAGGTTGAAAATTTTGGGCCAAGCCACCCCAAAATTTCTGCACAGAAATTGGATAAGAACTTTCTATTAACACCTGCCCAGAGAAGTTTCTGACTCTTCCCTGAAGCATAAATCTGCACCAGAACATTTTAACATAGATTTCCTTCCAATTTGTTGTTACTCTCTGGATGACATTCCAGCCTTTGCCTTGACATTTTAAACTCCCCAGAAAAAGTGATTTCTGTGACAGGTCTTCTTGACTCCAGGGATTTGAATACCAACTGCTCTGCCCAACGGTCAGCACCTTCAGACGTGGGTAATGGTTCCTTCCTGCGCTCAGTCACACTGCCTTAGCAACAAAAATCAATGAGATGTCAAGCCAGATTTGTCATTACTTTTAGCTTTATCAAGACCATAAAATATTGTTAGAAAGTAGAGAAAAAGAGCACGCAGTCTCCTACAGGGGACTATGCTAATGAAAATAATAGTTCCCATGTTCTAAGGTATTTTCTTTACAAAAGGTTATTGTTAGTGCCGTAGTGGAGTCCCACTCCTAGTGATCCTGTGGACAGCAGAGCGGAACCCTGCCCGATCTTTTGGCACCATCCTCTCCCTCTCAGGTGCTGTATCAGATAATGGTCCACTGCTGGTCATAGGGTTTTCATGGCCAATTTTTTCGGAAGTAGGTGACCAGGTCTAGGCTGGAAGCTCCGCTGACACCTGTCCACCACGGGTGACCCTGCTGGTATCTGAAATACCAGTGGCGTAGCTTCCAGCATCACAGCAACATGCAGCCGCCACAGATGACAACCAACAGACAGGTGGTGTGGTTCCCTGACCCGGAAACAAACCTGGGTGAGAGTGCCGAATCTTCACCACTAGACCACCAGGGCTAGCTTTACAAAAGCTACAGTTTGCCTACTTCTGGAACCGTCCTCTCAGTACTGCAAGACACACCATCTACGTAAGTCAAGGAGAAAGTAGATTCTCACATGAGCCTGGCCCCTCGCTCGGGTGGAGTCAGAGGCTGGGTCTGGCTGCTTAGGCATGTCCTCAGGAACCTAGAAAATAATCCTTTCCAATCACAAGGCCACTAATATAATAAAGGGGCACTTGCCGAGTCTCATAGCTTCCTCAAAAAAATCTGTTTTCTTCTAGGGAGGGAATGCTAGCCTTCACAAATAAACTTTACAGGAGCAACAACAGCATACATTGAAAATAATTGTCATCAGATATATGAGTTTTGATTTATAAAATTTAAAAAAGTTTTGAAAGCTTTTCTAACAACAAATCAAAATTTTAAGCCAATTTCCATGCTGTGTCTCTAGAAATCCTTGACATTTCTGCTAAGGGAGATAATATATTTTTCTTTTTACATTTTAATGTTTTGAATATTTCTTAACACTCTACAATTTAAAATTATCAGTAAAAGCACATACAATTAACATCTCATCTGCATGACTCTACCTGATAGTATTTCCAATACTCCATAGATGGAGATGAGAATATCTAATATGCTGTTTGAAGTAAAAATAAGAATGTTAAATATGACAAAGCACCTTTGTGCCAATGTTCTCTTTAAATACTAAGTGAGTGCATGCCCAGAGGTTGAAGAAATATGTCACTCACTCCTGCTAACTCTTGTCCTAGGATTTAAGGAGACAAAGAAAACAAGCCTGCAATACAGGGCTTCTAGGAAGCTGGAGCCACCCTCCCTTCAAGTAGAACTCAATGTGGCCTTTCTGTAAAGACCAGAGCCAGGGAGGTCTCCCATCACAGCAAGGAGAGGTGTTGGTGGGCTTCCACCAGCAGGTAACGATGTCTTTTGCAGCCAGTCCTAAGAATCGCAGTGCTTCCGCATTTTAATAGTGCAGTAGCATGTGAGAACAGAAATAGCAACAGTAATAAAAATAGAGTAGATATAGTCTACTCTATTACATTCAAGACTGAGCTGTAAGCTATGTCAGAAAGAGAGAGAGAGGGAGAGAAATGCCCCTGCAATTCAGATATCATCAAGGCTTCATTTCTTTTTTAATAAACATTTACTGTGAACTCACTATAAGCCAGGCATTGTGCTAGGAAGTTATAGGAAAAACACACAGCTTCTGTTCTCAACAATCTTAGAGTCCAGTGGGGTGGGCAGGTGACTTTGGTCTGTGGTGCCCTGGAGGGCTGCTGGCTGAGCCTGCAGGAACTGGGGAGCCCTGGCAAAGGCTGAGCAGCATGGGAGGAATCTGATCACAACCCTGCAGGACAAGCCGGAAGAAAGTGAGGGTGTGTGTGTGTGTGTGTGTGACAGCGTGTGTTAGTGTGAGAGTATTTGTGGGTGTGTGTCTGTGAGTGAATGAGTCAGTGTGTATAGGAGTGTGTGTTAGTGTGTGAAGTCATTTGTGTGAGTGTGTGTGTTAGTGTATCAGCGAGTGTATGTATGTGTGTGATATGTGTGTGTGTCAGTGTGCATGAGCGTGTGAGGGTATTGTGAGAGTATGTGTGTGACTGTGTGTGTATCTGTGTGTGAGAATGTGAATCCATGTGTGTGTGAGTGTGTGACAGTGTGTGTTAGTGTGAGTATTTGTGGGTCTGTGTCTGTGAGTGAATGTGTCGGTGTGTATATGAGTGTGTCTTAGTGTGTGAAGTCATTTGTGTGAGTGTGTGTCTGTGTGTTAGTGTATCAGTGAGTGTATGTATGTGTGTGATATGTGTGTGTCAGTGTGCATGAGCGTGTGAGGGTATTGTGAGAGTATGTGTGTGAGTGTGTGTGTGTCTGTGTGAGTGTGTTGGAGGACCAGGCTGGACTGAGGAGGGTGGCTAGGGCCTGAGATGGAAAGGCATGTCCAGGGTAGTGACAGTGACATCCTGTGAACAGCTAGGGATGGCCCTGAGTTCATGTAGTGACATCTGAGAAACAGTCAGCACTCTGTCCATTCTCTTCATGGTTTTGTAGGATTTAGTTCAATTAGACCAGCCCCAAACCTTCATCTCAGCACCGTTAACTTTTGTAGTCTGCAAACTTGATCTAACAGTTTTGCTGCAAATAAGCTGAATTTGTTTGAGGATTATACAAGGCTTTGTGTTTTTAAATGTGTTTTTGATAGTCACCTTTCAAATAATTATAGCTCTGCTTTCTCTTTGTTCTTTCTTAGGCAAACTCTATGCATTGAAGTCCTTTATTCTTTTACTGCATGTTAATTTATTTTGTCCCATCCTTATTTAAGCAGTGTTTTTCTCTGAATTATCTCCCATCTTTCACCTTTCCTATTTTATTTTTACAGGACTGAGGAGATTAAATACAAATGCCATCATCTGAGCTATTGCATTTTTAAATATTTATGTTCCCATAGACTCAGTGTCTTTTGTCGTTTATCTTTCAAAATTCCACCCTAGTCTACAAATAGTGTGTAAATAATTAAAATTCTTTATGGAGGAATAAAGGAATAAAAATGTTCTACAACATTTTCTGTTTTTCTCTTCATGGTGGAAGTGCTTTTTCATTAAGATGTCTTTTTTGGATAACCTGCAGCTATGCTCAAATTGTTAATTTAGGTAAATAACTTTTTCTCTAGAACAGAAACCCAAATAATATTTTCATTCTGTATAGGATCAGCTAAATGAAGAAATTCGGTTAACTTCCAAAAGAAAAACTGAAAGGTGTTAGGGAATAACAAGACAAATGTAGAAGAGAGACTAAACTAATTGAGTGAATTATGAGACAAATGGGTTTATTGATTGTAGGGAAAATGATGATCAAGGATAGTGCAAAATAGAAATACAGTCTAAGATGGGTGCCTCCTCCCTGAGTTTCCTTCCATCTCTTTACGGAATTCTGGAGAGAGAATGGCTATATCCCTTTGAATCACAAGAGGTCTTTACATAGCAGACCCTTAATCAATGCCTATTGAACAAGTGATTAAATTCAAGCTTTATTACTTTCACTAAATTTAGGTCTTAGGGTAATGACATAAAAGTTAAATGATCCAAAATGAGCTATATTTGAAAACAGTGAAAAAATTTTCATCACATATACAGAAAATAGGCTATCAGCTCAAATCATACAGCAGTGGGCCGGCCCTGTGGCTTGGTGGTTAAGTGCGCGCGCTGCGATGCTGGTGGCCCGGGTTCGGATCCCGGGTGCGCATCGAGGCACCAC